TGGTTACTCCCTACCTGGTTCAAGGCACTTCTCCCTTTGAACAGCTTCAATCTTCTGGGAAAGTGTTCCTATTAGAAACATGAATATTGCCTTACATATTTGATTCGCGACGTGTTTATCAAGCTAACATATTAATTGCACTTGGGTTAGTTTAAACAAGCAAGCAAGCGGAGTATGACAATACCATCAATCACTTGCTGTTGTTTTAAACCGTATGAGTTAATCATATGTTTTCGCCGATTGGCTCAAAAACCATGCTCTTTTTGATAAAGTGCTCGAAATCAATGTTTCAATCAAATCGATCACTACGAATCGGGATCGATGGGTGTTAATTAGATCTCTGAAATGAAGGTTGCGGGCTTTAATAAGTGCAGAAAGAGAGAGTATTTATCTTTTAATTCACTTTTAAGGTACCAGCGATTCTTAAAGATAACAGAGCTAGAGCCAGATATTTTCATGAATTTTCAGATTTTGAAACTTGGCGCACACTTTAGGGGAAAATGAGCTGAATTTTCTTGCGATATGAAATGGTCAAAAAGCCAAGGAAACTGATGGTTTTGGCCTTTCAAATATCCTTTACAGTTACGAAAGAGTCTTAAGAATAACGAAATTAGAGCCCAATAAATAGAGAACGTTAAAAATTTGACACTCAAAACGCTTTTTAAACCAAAATGAGCTGATTTTTTTATGACTTGTGACTAAATTTTCAAAATACAAGAAAATGAGAATGTTTTGGTCTTTCAGTAGATTACCGAAGATAACGGAGTTAAATTTCAATATATTCAATAGCTGCGTTTCAAAATTGGAACCTCAAAAAAATCTTCAGCGGAAAATGAGTTTATTTAAAATTTCTAAAATGCCTAAGAAACAAAAGGTTTTAGTTTTCTAGATGCACCTTCAATTGGCGATAAGTTCCTGAATATAACGGAGCTGCAGCTGAATATATTCAAGGCGTTTCGAAATTTGAAAACCCCAAATTATGGCTGTTTTGAATTCTGATTAGCACGATGACTTCCATTTCACCCTTTCTCTAATTGCGACAGGAATTCCAGACTAATCTGTTCCGGTTGTTTCATTAAGCAGAATTGCTTAGTCCATTAAAATGCCCTGATAAAGCATCATTAATATCCTTTCTCCACCCCACGATTTAAAACTCTCTTAACCGGACAATGCCTCAATCGTGGCAATGTTATTTAACAAATCTTTAGTGTCGAATAAACCCCAACTCAATTCTGATTTGAAAACAAGACGGTGTCGCTAATATTATGAATAAATTATAAGATCCCTTCGCCAGGTTTTATACTTTAAGGAACAAAGGCCGGAAATTTGTATTCAAAGGTTGATGATGTAGCTTTATTAAGCAGATACGCCATAAGCGGCAAATTTAGAATACTGTAGGGTCTATTAATGGCAATTTTTGCTGTTTCACGTAAATTTGAATTTAAATAATGGACCATCTAACTTGAATGTTGCCGTGTTAGACAACTATTTTGATCCCCTTGGTTATTTTAAACTAGGAAACCATTTAACTTTATAGTTTTAAGATAGTGTAATATATAGATCTAGGAACGGCAAATTGGAACTTTTCACTATGGGAAAAGCAAACGAACCTCTGACAAGGAACTGCACACCTGATTTACATTTAAATGACTAGGCGATTAATAAAATACTCATTGATGTCTGCATCTTGGAAAAATTACAACTCGTCGAAGAACAGAGGCTTGTTCGAAGTCACATTTTCTGCTCAAAGAACTTTACTACCACCAGGCATTTTGAAAAATTATGACCGTGTAATGAAGCAGGGGAATTGTCTAAATTAGATACGCCATAGGATTAGACGCCCTTATTTGCGACAAGGCTAAATGTAAACGGATATAAACTTCTGGGCTTACTTTTTATTTTTCTAATTTATTAAGGTAAACACCGGAAGCTAGCACAACACTGCTGCAGGCGGAAATAAATCAGTTTAGAAACGAAAAAGCCAGCAGCTCTTGTGCCGTAAATTTGACGGTCTTCTCTAAGATTTCAACAATGAGATTTTATTTGGCGACGTTTTATTCCTTTGGGTTAAAAGGAAATAAAAATAACAGCTTAGTCTTATCTCTGTGTGAAAATGTGTAATTTCGGGGCATCCGTCTCTGACAATAAGGGCCTTTAGATGGCGAACACATTGGCTAAGGCCAGTCAGCCAAACCGATTCGCTGGTTATTGTTTTAGAAAAGTTTCATTTTATATACTGTTTTTTTTTCAATTTTTTATATTTTGATAATACCAGGGACGACCATTCATAAATTTTGCGATTTGTTTGGCAGCAACATTGACTTCTATCTTGAATGGAATGGTTAAAAGTAGTAGCAAAGTTGGACCGACATTAGGAATATAGATAAGAAAAATGCAGGTTGTCTCATTCTTTTCTTCTAGGTGCAATGTCGCGTCTAGACCCGACGAGCCTGAGCCGAACCTGAGCCGAGCCGGAGCCGCGGCAAATTCATTTGATGTTTCGTCAGAACACCTACAGAAAATGGATCGTCTGCCTTGACGAAACATCAAATTAATTTTCCTGCTGTTCAGGCTCGGCTTGGGCTGGGCTCGTTAGCTCTGGACGCACTAGAGATGAGCTAAAGCGTGATTTTAAAATCTGTTTTAACTGTGAATGTATTTTTTTTTACTCTAAATCTAACCTGTGAAGGTGGTTTCACTTGTGGTTGCAGTTTTCGTGATACAGGCGTTATAAGGTGATTGGCAATGGTGCGTCACTTGCAGAAACAATTTTAAAACATTTGTAAATCATGTTTTTAAATAAATAACCTTATTTGAAAAATAAAATAGGAACAAAAACTATTGTTTTACACAGAACGAATAGCGTATTAATGCTCTTAATTCTGTGTGAACAAGCTACATTTGATTTCAATTTTTGAACTGAAAAAAACTTGATTTGGGTGAAAATAGGTACAAAAATATTACTTTGCTACATTTCTCGAAAATTTTCAGAATTTATTGATATTGTGGGACGTTGCATTTCATGTGCCGTTTCAAATTCGACGTAGGTATTTGTTTTGTAAGATAATTTTACACAAGTTGCATTTTCCAAAATTATCATCTAATGCAAGAAATAAATTCCACAAAAAATTAATAAATGAACAAAACAGAACCACTAAACGTATCACCAGAAAATTATTTTAAAAATACACAAACAGGTTACCGATACACAATCAGAATACGGCTAATGAATGGTGCATACTGAAATACGATTCCCAAAAATATCAATAAAATCCAGGCTCAAGGGAACCCGTGAATGCAAACTTTCATTAGCGATTTACGGATCAAAATAATTTTATTCGTTCTTTCGCCGGGCCGCATGTGCAACTTATGATTTCTACACGAAACTCGCAATAGTAGCGTTAGCAGTGAAAATATTAGTCGCTTATTAATCATGTTTGGGTCAATCACATTTTAGATCACAGTTTAATTTTTCGTTCATCACAGTTTGTTTGTGATTGCTATACTCGCTGTGAAAAAATCGCAGGTAGTGATTTGTTGCTCAATTCTAAGACGCACCAAACAATTAGCGTCTCAAAATTCTGACTTCATAACACTAAAAACACGAGTAATTGCCGAATTTGCGAGGCCAACGAGTCAATTTCTCCTTAATATAATCTATATATAAAAATTCTCGTGTCACAGTTTTAGTTACCATACTCCTCCGAAACGGCTTGACCAATTTTGATGAAATTTTGTATGTATATTCAGTAGGTCTAAGAATAGGTTGTTATCTATTTTTTAAACCCCTAAGTGATATGGGTGCTGCCATAAACCCCTATCTTTTAATAGCTATATTAGTGATTCAATCAGCTTAAAATAAAATAAATAAAAAATCTCAAGTGGGCAAACCGCCCACTCGAGATGAAAAAAAACCCTAGGAATAATTTATATGGCAATACAACGTTTGCCGGGTCAGCTAGTTTTACTATAAAACATTCAATTCGTTTGTCTCGTTGTTATGTTTTTTTCTTTTACTGTAATTGCCGCCTTAAGCTCTTGTAAAATTTTAAATTTCAATGCCGTTTTATTACAGTGACGTTTGCTTGTTGCTTGGCTATTGTTTTCGTGATATTTTTTTATATACTCAGAGCCATTGTTGCTCCCACGTAAAAATGGAAGCAAATGCATCTGTTAAATCTACATCTACTAACGTTTAATTTTACATTAGCTTTAGTTACAAATATATCCAGCAGTTAAATGTCAACTGAATTTTTAAGCCGTTTGATGCCCCTGTCGATTCGACAAAGTATCACAGTGCTCTATAGTCGATTAATTATTTACTAAACTAAAACCCATACGCTCGCGTGCTTCCAAAATGAAAGGCTGTTTGCCATGAAATATCCACTAAAGCTTCTTTTAAACCGTTTAAAATTCTGAATGTGAGAACAGTCAAGTATATTAAAGTTTTCAAAAACTTCAAAAGAGGTTTAAAGTGGCGCGATAAAGTAACAGTTGAAGTGTGTTAAATTTTTTATGAGGATAAAATTCGAATAACGAGATTGGCTGAATAAAATCGAAATCGTTCTGTTTCAGGGAATCTCATATAAAGTTCTACATTCCTAATGGGACTTAAAGCTGTGCTGATTGCGTTTGAGGAAGTTTTCTCATTAAGACTGTTACAATAGGTGCATATTTAGAATATTGACTTCAAATTCCGAACGGAATCTTGGTATTGATATAGCCAGATATTGTATTATGGAGAGGTGTGATATTTGACTTTAACCTGTTTCCCTCTTTTCCGTTCTCGAGTAACTACTTCTCGTGTAAGCGACATTTTCAAGTTGAATGAATTAATTTCTCCAAATGTAGGTACAACAAAGCCCACTTTAGTTGGGTTTATATTGGCAATTTTGCCAACGATTGTATATTGAACAGTGCCGTTATTTTTATGCGATCCAATTTCACAGTTGCAATAATAATAGTCCAACTTTAATAAACAAACACTTTTCTGATTGCAGGACGGCACGTTCGAAACATTGAACCCAATGGGATATCGGTTCTCAACGGGGCCGATTCTAATCAAGGTAAGTCCTAAATGTAGCAGTAGTAATAATAACTATAACCGATACGGGATTGTTCCAGTTCTAACGTGGAACTTAAATTGACCTTTCCTGATTACCTCATTCGAATGCGTTTGATGCGCTAGAATTCCCTCTTATATCATTCACGTTATAAATCGTGATCCTTCCTATAAGACGGATGATTTGAAAAATCCTTCAAAGACAGTTTTCCAAAGAAAAGTAAACAACAAACGCAACTTAATATAAAAGTTTTATACCAGCTCTTAACTCTAAATGCTAGGAAATTCGATCCACATCATAATTTCGTACTCGCTCCACAAGTTTCCGCAATCTTTAATGCTCTCGATTCACCTAGCTTATAACTTTCTCCTTTGCACGGCGCTGAGACAAAACTTGAGGCTGGGAAAACTTTATTTTGACGTAGAATAAGTTTATTAGTTTAGCCAGCTAATCAAAACAGAACTTAATTTGGGGAAATATCATTTAACTTTTGAAGATCAACTAGAAGCTAACTTTTCCGTTGATCTTTTCCTTTGCGAGAATACCAATGATAGCTAGCCAAATTGCTTAATTTTCAACTATTTACTGTTTCAACTATTACCTGGAAGTTTACTAATTTAACTAGTCATGGAATCAAAATAATTCCCTAGTCATTTTTGGGGAATATTCAACTATTGAAAAATTCACAAACCTTCTGAATATCTAAACAAGCTTTGAACCAGTACCAGTTCAGCTAGTGGTTTGAATTAATCTTTACTAAGCAGCGACTACTCGGCTTCAGTAAAGATCCAAATTAGTACACTGCCGGTATTGAAATGAATAAAATAACGTTCACTTCTAAGTAAAGGTAACTACCGTAGGGAATCAAATTATCCCAATAAAGACAGAAATGTGAATTATGAAACAGCGCATCTGGAGCACTGAATCACTAAAATCCACAGCCGGATTCAAACGACCACCGGCTTGAGGCAAAATCCAAACATCTGAGCTTTATGTTAAACAACGCCAATAAAGAAAACAATTAATGAGGAAAATTGTCCGATTCAGTAATTTACCAACAACTTTTAACTAGGTGTCAGAAAGTAAGAAACTTTGCCGGGTTATGGCACCTTCTTGCCTCCCACATAAAATTTCATGTTCCTTGAAAGCCATTTTTAAAACAACAAAGGAGGACCATAAAAGCCAAATCCCCCTAATAGCTTTGCAAAATGTGTAGGGGAGGGCAATATTATTCGAACCGGAGTTTTAGGATAGTGTTTATACATAGTAAAGCGGTCCATAAGGACACTTCCAAACAGAAGTTTGAGGCGAATTCTAATTGAGCAAACATTTTACACGTAATCCAATTTCGAATCAAAATCAAACACGGAATTCGATCAATTGGAGATTTCCAAACCTAATTAATTCTAATTATCCAAAGTACACATAAAGATAATAAGCCCAATTCGTTGTAGGATCTTCAGGACTTACATGGCTGTAACAAGTTTCCATTCAATTTGAATGTAGCAAAATATTGAACGAAAAATGCAACTGAAATCCTGGTTTATCCTAATGCTTGTGCACAGTATGCAAACAAATTGTAAACAATGTATCGGAAAGTTTGCCTAACAGAAATATTTGCTTTCGGTTGTCTGCAATTTAAAATAGGAATTGTCATTTGTATTTGAACCAAACAGGGGAGCTTTCATGTTATCTCATAGCTCCTTAAATTCGAATAAAATGATGATATTTATAATTTCGCTTGGCCCATTCATGTTAGTCAATGCTTTCATGTAACAATGCCAGTAAAATCACACAATTATTAAACAACGTAATTTTACCTTCATTGCAATGATGGATTCTGCTTTTATTTTTATTGAATCTTGGAAAATAAATGACCGATTGATGATACATGATTATTGCTAACAACTGCTTGTATGTTCGATCAGCATACTGACTGATAATCAATTGCACCTGGTGTGTAGAAATATCCATCGAAGTTATTAACTGAATTTTATGTTTAGTTTTATAAAGCATTAGCTAAAATTAGAATATTTTCGGTTTTCCACTAACACTGTTGATACATGTATATCCCTCTGTAACATAATTTTCTCTGGTGCATTAAATAGATAAATTTCGTGCCCTCTACACGCCAAATTGTTATTCTTCGCCTCCAGAATATTATGAATATTAACAGGGGTTGCAATTATTACTAGTTTTTAGCAGAAGCTTAAGGACTTCACGTACTTTTGCGACCTATTTTCCTTTGATTAAGGAATAATTACCATACACACCACACCGTAGCAGAGCCACTCTATTGATTTTATTTAAAGTGAGAAACAAGACGAGTTTTTTGACGTTTTTACATAATTCGCTTGTAACAAACAAGAACGCCAATTTAGAAAATTATCTGTACTTATTAAGGTAAGTGCAGGAGTAAAAACGTACAACAGTTACTGAAATTGTGAACAATCAAATCAATCAGGAGATTAGTAACAACAAATAAATCCCAAGTTAAGTGAATTACACGCTGATGAAAAAATTCTTCTCTGACTGACATACTTTAAATGGACAGCCAGATATATGTCTCTCCCCTAAATCTACCCTTTTTATATCGCCCACGATCCTAAAATTTCTGCAAGCTTTTAGGCCAGAGACTATCTTTCTTTAGACTAAAATATAAGCCTGTCCAGAACGTTTCCCCAATTTGCGACTTACCTATTTATTTCGTGGTTTGCAACGAGAAAATGTCTACGGGGCTTGAACTCAGCCATATTTGTTTACTTAATTAAACGCACGCTGGAAACACAAGTCAGGTGAATAATAAATTAAATGGAAATTGCCAAGGAAAAGTACTCCTTTCTCTGAGTGAAATTAATTCATTTTTCCTTCTACAATTCTAAATTGATATTAGTTGCTTGTTTACGTTAATTGGTGGTCTTTAAATTCAGCTTCACCCACTAACCAGATATGGACTAAGTCAATTTATATTACATTTTCGTATAATATAATCACCTTTGCTTTGCCCCACATTGCCCTATAAATAGCTATATGCAGGTATCTTGCTATCGTGGGTAATTCCTCATTTCAGCGTTATTTGGGGCTCACGAAATAAGAAAAGGGAACGAGAGCGATATATTAAAAATGCGGTAAGGCATGTCAGCGATAAAGCTGCTGTGACAAAGCTTGATATGTGGACTATTTGATGTCATAACATTGGAATAAACCCAAACTAGGCGAAATAGCTTTCATAAATGGCTCTAAGCCAAGCGACAAGCAATATGTGAACAGCTCAGAGTAATTTAGTTATTACTCCATCTGTGTTATTTTAAGAGTCTTTTTAGAGAAACAGTTAATTGCATTTTTTTCAGTAAATCTTTATTGATGAGTGCAAAGGCATATGCTCTCTTTTTTATACGTGCGGTTTAGTGACGAGCGATCTTGGTCTCGACCAAGACCAGGGTCGATATTGAACAGCGAAGTAATTCGATATTGAACCGCATTAAATCTGTCCTCGTAGCCCTTAACGATGATAAGAAAATTGAACCGTTTTAAACGCTTAACAGACCAACGAGTCACTTTAAGTGAGAAAAGATAAAATTAGGAACCAAAGCTAAGAACAAGTCGGACATAAGTAAAACAGAGCTTGACATATTTACAGTTCATAAATTGGCGGGTGGTTAGTCGAATATTTGATCTAATATTTATCAACTTTTACCTTGGTATTATAGTATAAGTTGGAAAAAAATAGGTACATGTTTTCATGCACACTATGAAAGAGTAGAACTTCAGAAAGTAAATAAGTAGCGCTGATCAGTTTAAAGTTTAAAGACAACCTTAATCATTATTTTTCCCTTATTATATGTCCTTTGCGATAGTTCCGAAATAAGTTGATGTATAAACAGTAAATTAGCAAATGTTAAGTTACCGGTTATAATTTAAAAGCCCAATCAGAACGAAATAATTTCTACACCTTAAATAAAGTTTGATATAATTTTATTGTATATACTTTACTGACTGTTTCAATTCCAAATCAAAATTAATTCCTGGGTTTCAGTCATTCCTTGTCTTTATTTATCAATTAAAATACGTTTCGGTGTATTTTTCCACTATCATCAGTTTTTTTTCAAGACTTTCAAATATTTTATTTGATTCTGTCCGTTCCCAAAATTAAATTCCCTTCTTCTCACCTGTATAAATTTTGGTATGACGGCAAGGTTCTTGCATCTGGTCAAAACGTGTTTCCGGTTCTTTTCTCTTGTCAGTCTTGCCTCCAGTTTTCCATATCTCTTCCTTAAAACAACAAAACTGATGATGGTGGAAGAATACACCGAAACGTATTTTAATTGATAAATAAAGACAATAAATGACTGAAACCCAGGAAGAGAATGTAAATCATACTGAATGAAAAAATATTTGAATTGGATAGGGATTGTCTACTCTGTCTGTTAACAAATTATTTTGAGTTACAAAAGAGTAAACATTTTTAAAACATCAGTTTTTACGGAAATAAAACTGCCAACAGCCTCAGATTATGTTATTGTTGTGTATTGGTTATTATTAACTTTCATTATTATTGAATTAAATTGATTTAATTTTGCGCCTTATTTAAAAGAAATACCAAGACCAAGACTGTCTTTTGGTTAGCAAGACTCCAACACCGAAACTCCTCATTATTTATGTAATTCACTTTTATACGTAGTGGTGCGTTCCTTTCTATTCGTCGAATATGGAAACTCATTTTCCACACATGTGAGTAATGCTATTGCCTGAAAGCCAGGTCATTAATCACAGGATTTTGTGGTGAATTTTTCTAATTTCTTAACTTCATTTGATTGCTCTACATGATATAGTGTGCACTGTTGATTTCCTCAAATGTATACAGCTGATTTTATTGGAAAAAATGATGAATGAAAGCTACCGAACAATCACTATACGGATGTTAATGGATTTACTCATAAGCAGTTTGGGAATTCAATGCAATACGAATAAAGTGGGGTTGATGAAAACTTTGGTATTAAAATCAATTTGCTGACAATAAAGACGTCGATTTGTAGCGCTGCTTTTTATTAGCCAAAAGTCCCTAAAGGAGACTGGCGATATTTTTATGACTTCAAGATCGACGAGTCTGTTTTACCATATCTGCAATTACCATATTGGTTTTTTTGTTCTGCCTAAGTTCATATCCATTTTTCGTAAGTATCCCTTCGACATAAAATTGTGATTTAGACCATATTACCTAACAAAGGTCTGTATAACGTCCGTACAGAGGTCTTTCTATAAAACGGATAATAAAAAGGGGCCAATCAGATTAAGGAAAATGTACCGGACTGTGAACTGAAAACGGTATAACCTACAATACCGGCTGAATACACAATGCTGACCCATACAGAAAGCATTTTTATAGAAAACATTCTGACAACGACTTCGGATATAGGAAATTTTTCTCTCTATTGAACCCGTTTAGTTTTATTTCATAGCTCTTTTCCAGGACATTTTATCTGAATGAGGAGCAATTTTTAACCATTTAAATAAACTTCTTTCATTAATTCCCTATCCGAGGATTACTTCTTTTCAATCATCAGGCAATATTTTCTTCGCGATACTGCATGGAATGTCTGACAGGAAATTTCAGCTCACGCAACTGTCCCAATGGAACAAGTTATTTAGTTGTCGTTTCCTTAAGACCGGTTTATTGAATTAATTCCGGCTGGATCAGTTTATGTAAAATAAGTTTCGAGACTTTTTCCGCTCGCTTTACTATTTGTTAGCCAGAATTGACAAACGGGTTATTTTGCCGAGAACCTGGAAACGTGTAAAGTGAGCGAAACAAATCAATTGCTTCGTTTGGAATGAGTGGCTTAGAAACCGGTTAGGACGATGTTTAAGGTAAATTGGGGACATTTATCGTGCTGTGTAGAACTTTAGAAACAGGAAATTGTACTTTCCAAATCACATTCCGGTTCCTCCAAAATAATCCCAATACAGAGTGCCTCGTAAGCACATTTATCAAAAGGGCACTGAGACATTCTTTGACTCGAATAAAGGCCACATGACCTAACTTTTATTAAGAAAAAAATTCCGGATTCTATGCTATCTATTGTCAAATTTATTGAAAAAAATCTGATTTATAAATGATTGGGAGAAGTCCTTCAGTGAAGAATTCTCGAGAGTCTTAGTACAAAAACAAGTTCTATTCTACTCGAGCTCGGTTTTCCAAAATTTTCAAGCCGACCTTTTGCATTATGCGTTAATAGCCATGTATGAGTTTCCTATACTAATAAAACACCACAGCTGTTGATTGATAAATCTAGCTTGAAGCGGAAAGCTGTCCCCTGTTCCGTGTTTTCGTTTATCCTTTGTTAAGTTTCTTGATCCAAAAACAATTTTGCGGAATCTTTATTCAACTTCGAGGATCTGAAGGACTTAGCGTTTAAACGTGACACATTAAATCCAGGATCTGCTTATTAATTTTTGAGCCGTTTTACTTATTTATCTCGGGCTATAAGAATTTAAGTATATAAATATCCAGCTGAATTATCACTAGATATTCATTCGAAAAGCAATTCTGAAAATGTTTTCTGGATTGTTCGATTTATTGATGCTGAATACCAGATCCTATACCTAAGTGATATGTCTGTTTGGAAATATCGGCACTGTCAAGGTTTACAGGCTAATGGCATGATAAGGGTCATTTCGTAAACTAGAAATACGGAAAATGATCGACTTGTTTAAGCATTCAGGCGAAAATCGGCTCGGATTTTCCGTATTACTTTTATGTATTTGCCAAACAAACAACCTGCCGATTTTAAAAGCGATGGAAAATTTGGTTCTATTACGTGCTGGTCAAATTTATGCCAATTAGTGGAATTGAAAAGTTTCAAGAAACCGGGGAAATGGTTTGGAGACGACTAACAAGATGAAATGTTGGCAATTATGGCAGAGTACAAATAAGTTTCGTTCTCTTGAAGGGCTCTGAAATTCACTAATAACCTTTCCTATGCCATCTGCTTTAGATCTGGATTTGCAACTATTTTAATATTAAATACCGCTGTCTAAATTCATTTGACTCAATGTTAGAGTCAAAATGTTTCAACGCTCTCCAGGGGAGGTTTTCTTATTTCACGCTCTAACCTTTTTGTATGGAAATTATAGGCGGGCTGATGAATATTTCCAATCAGACTACATAAAAATTATTATTATTTCAGATTCACTCCCCAGATTCACTGAGCCAGTCCTAAATGTAACAGTGACCGTAGGCAGAGACGCTTTACTAGCCTGCGTCGTGGATAACCTTAAGGGATTTAAGGTAAGACTTTAAGCTTAGAGGGGTAACAATGATTAATTAGCTCGCTATATTAGTTTCGAGGATTTATTGTTATATAGGGCGTACAATGTGTCGGCCAGGTATCGAACCACTTAAGCAAACTCGAGAGCCAATTAGGCTGGTTAATTTGTACCAAATGGTTTATTGATGCTTGAGTGGTGCGTTATTAGCGTGACAAAAGAAGCAAAAGTGCGGAAAATAAATCAAAACCAGCTCTGCTTAGTAAAGTCATTAAGTGTCGCATCACCAGAATCTTTCAGCGTGCAGCATTATGACAATCCAGAATCTTGCTTTCTCTCAAGATTTTCCTTGCATTGGCTTGGGATTTCATCTTTTCAGCTTTTATAGTGGCTTTAATAAGAACATGAAACTAAATCCTTGGTCATGTCTAGTTACAAATTTAATGATTTTGAATAAGAAGCAGAAAAATCTATTTACTGATGGAGTAGAGTATCAAAATTGCTATACAAGAACGTGTTGTTTTCCGCCAAAGTGGCAAATACTTAATATAAACATCATATGCATACTTTGATTTATTGACTACACTCAATATTATTGAAAAGCGTGGAGGATGACAAAGATTTACGGCTCTGTCTTCGCTAGGTGTATTATTATCCACTCTGTTATGAATTTATAATGAAGATAAACAAATCGAAGTACTCAAAGTTGCATCTACCGAAACAAATATGTCTAGTCCCGGTTGCGTGCATTCAAAAGGGGTTGAAGGCCTAAGATTTTAGGCTTAAAGGGTTACAATGATTAATAGGCCAGGTATATTGACTGTACAGAATTATTGTAATCGGACGAAGGCATCTAGTTAAACATAATTTGCGAATAATTTTGCGGCAGATAATGTCACTGGAATGCGGATTACAGAGAATTATTCCTATCCTGGCTTGTGTTAAGTACGGATTTGTGAATGTTAAATAACATTGGGCAACGAAAATAACTTCCCACGATAGGGAAGGAGCTCTGATGTTCTGATGTTGATTTAAGTTAGGATTTTTCGAGACGCACAAAATATAAGCGGAATAGCTGATAATTGTTTGTTACTCTTTGATGGTGTAGAGCGTGTGTAGGTCGCATCCAATAATCTTACTACCTGAACTGATTGTCGATTATGACTGATTCACACGAATTAAGTCATGTTTAGCTAACCACTACTCATTAGTTCGGACAAAAAAAAACAGAAATTAAAATCGTTTTATTAGTTGCTTAAATTCAATTTGGTGACCCAGAAAAATTTCAAGAAAGGCGAAAAAGCATATAGGAAGAACAATGCTGGAGTCTGTTTCTCCTACGGAAGTGAATGGTGGAGACTGAATGCGGAAATGAAACGAAAAATAAATACCGTGGAAATTGAGTATCTGCGGCGCAGTGAAGGTATATCTAAATTGCAAATAATCCGAAATGAGGACATAACACGAAAAGCAGATGCACAAGAAATATTTCTGGAAAGGATAGGAGAGGATTAAGATGGTTTGGACAAATGATAAGGATGAATGAACAAATATGACCTCTAAAAATGTTTAAAAAATCCCATCAAGACGGAGGAATAGGGAAAGTTCCAGAAGACGCAACAAACAGAGACCAATTGACTTTGTCTCATTTTTTGAACCAATTTTGGAGGTTGTGCGAATACTTTTACACACTTCTCGACCCCTAATAGGGCTTTTTTGAGTTGACAAAATGTCTATGTCATCTGCATATGAGGAACTCCGGCTTCCAGCAGATGCAATTTGGAGAATTCATCAGTTTGTTTGACTACGTGTCAGAAATAGAATTGAGTTTTAGTAAAATTTTGCGGTTCCTTCAGTTTTTCCCTACTTTACAGACCATGGTGATTTCTGCCAAGATCGTTATGGCATTAAATATGTAGGTTGACGGTTGATGGTATTTAGGAGGAAGTTTTTGTAAAAATTCTCAGGTCCGGGTTTTCTTCTCATATTTATTTCAGGATGAATTGTTTTGATTATTTATTTTAATTTAATTGTCATGAGGAATGCAAGTACCTTTCAATGTCTTTCACCTTTTGTTCAGAATTTCCGGAAGAAGGTTTAAGTTTAAATACGTTTTGCCTTGTGCATAATAAAGGGACGACTGTTTATGGAAATATTGAAACAAAAGTTGCAACCCGCACATGGAAATGTATCCTGTTCTTAATTAATTAGTCTTAGGAAATGTTGCCCATTAAGCTTAAATGCCAGACCCTAAAATCGAAAGTCGCCCGAATTGCCATGTCTCTCAGCAAGCTGAATAATTTTCGCTAAATATTAAGTATCTCATTAGCACTTAAGCCCGCATGGCTCTGGCAACTCTTTTTCTCAATTACGTATATACGAAATCATGCCCGGAACAGTATTCCAGAAATCGGAAAACGCTTCACGTACTGAAACTCTGTTGAGACTAGCACGGTGCAAAGTGGGACTAAATAATACATCTAATGGTCAAAATCCCGCAAAAACTAGCAATTATCCAGAGTGGTTGTACCGGACAATGTTGGGTTTAAAAGTATATCCGTTTGTACAAATTTCCTTCATTTATCAGCTGGGTTTGCATTAATCATATAATTTGAAGACTAAAGATTAAGTTAATGATGTTGGGGCAGAGAAAGCGTAGCTACATAAAACTGACTTTAAATGGTCTGGCAAGCGGTTGATGTGTAATTTCAGAAAGTATAAGCTGTGGTAGCGCTGCTCAAAACAAGCGCAGAATAATTAATCTAATGTAAGGAAATGCATACGAGCAAGAATATTAAACCATTACCACAGCCATGCAGTGATTTCCAGACAACCGTAACTGACATGTTATATGGATGTAGGGGATTTTCCTAGCTTGTTTTTCGTTCACTTGGTGGTAAGAATTCCTACCTGGCAGCAATTGAAAAATGATGACAGATCCAATTCCCGGAAAGATTTGGGCGTAAAATAAGCAAGTTCAGTCCATCGTCGAGTCTTCCGGCACATATTCAAGTCACGACCGATTCCTCACTACGTTTTCGGATAGTCTCGCACTTCCATTCTCAACTTTGTTTTGTTTCCACATTTATTGTTTGTGTATGTGTGCCGAGTGTACGCTAATTTTATTATTTTAAACAGGTTCCTGGCAAATCTCATTGGCACGCGATACTACTTGGGGGGAGAAACGAAGACAGGAATGGAGAAAAACGAAATTAAATTTAGTGGTTGACCCACGCCAAATTGCTTTACACAATGACATGGGAAATAAAAAAAAGTTGTAGTAGTTCGGTGTGAAAGATCAAATTAATTCAACTCCCAGTAACAGACTTTGTTTTGTTAAGCTGTCTCAATTAATGGAACTCTCATTTGGGCTGAAATTGCTTAATCCACTTCATTGCTGCTGTAAAAATATTTACAAGCTCTGCTTCACTTTAGTGGGCATCGGGACCTGTTTTGCTATATCAGCTTTCGCGTTTACATTTCCACTTTTGATTAATCAAGTGGCAGTTGTAAGAGGCAAGTAAACTATTGACGGTTATTTGGCGTTAGCATTCCGCAAATAAATTAGACGCTCAACAGTTGACATCAATAACACTAGAGAGAGGGAGTTGGTTATCTTAATTAGCAATTGTTAAATGAGGAAACGGAATTGCTGACGCTATTGGTCCAAAAACATCAACCTAGTGGAATTCTGCATGTGATTCCACTCATTGGAATACACGCAGTTCAGCTCAAACATTCCTTTTAGAAGCCAAATTAAAGTCAATTCTCAGACTGTTTACTCCAGCCGGTATAATAATGGAGGAAATGGTATGAAATAGTAGGGTTGGACATCCAAAACACCAATTTATGAACTTAGCAAAGCCCCGCAAGTTTCCGTTTCGCATTAAAACCGCGTTAAACATTGCGACTCTGAGACTATTTCCTATTTATATCGAGAATGAACGGACTTATGTCCATGGCGATATAATGGTATTTAAATATTAAAAGCAAAGGTTTTATGACATGGATACGTCAAGCCTAAATTAGGGTAGGTATTTCACGTATGAAAAATATGAGCATCAATTTATTGAATAAAATATGCATTCCGTGCCATCGTATTACATCTAGGGACGTTCGTTGCTGTAAACTGGTGCCCATCAATTTTCGAATAGAGCCACATGGATGATAACAAAATGCGACGTTACAATAATAAATGGGTTATACTTTTACGCCTCCGAGTACATGACTTGAACGGTAAGAATTCCTATCAAGTGTTACAGTATATTTTTTGTTCCTTGCTCACATAATTGCTTAATTGAATCCTGTTGAAGTGCTCATCACCTTTAAAGCTTCGCCATTCTTTTCTCTTCTGAATGCGGGTGGATTTTGCCACATTAACTGACGATAACTACAGTTGCCTTAAGCAGCAGCTTTAAAGATTCCGATTTAACTCCACTGAGCTTTCGGTATTTCAAAGGACATGGTGGCCAATAGGAGCTCTAAAACACCTGCCAGTTCCGTTACTCTAGACACTAAATGTCTTGTTATCACCTTAAGTAGTAAGTTATCACCGCAGCAGGGCCAGCAGTAGATATGTTAGGAAATAAGCCGTTAAGGAAACTACAGTACGAGTAGTTTATGCAAGGAAAATATTTTATGGGTCGAGATAGAAAGCGTTCGTGTTTAAAAGGAAAATATTGCGTACACTGAATCTGGACGAGGTTGTTTCTATTTTCCTATTTATCTACATATGTAGCTATAATTATTAATTAGCGAATTATTGCGCTTTGCGTAGTTTCTCTTGGTTATTGTCTATTTACTACAAAAGTTTAATATGTATAGGAAAAATACCGAATTAATGTTGTTGAAAAATAGGCCGGAATTACGTAGAAGAAAAAATCCCATCGACATCGTGCAGTATTAATTAAACAGGCTCATAAAAGTCCTATGGCTAAACCTAGATTCTTGTCGGTATATAATTTACTCAACGGCTCCGGCCATATCGTAGACTGTAATTAATATGAAACGATATTAATAGAAAACTAAATAGTGTAATACACTAGATCGGTAAATCTGCTGGACAATTAAATATTATTTCCGTTAAAGTATATCAATATCGAAACAAATCACTCTTTAATAGTACATTTCGATTAAAATATGTAATTTTGTGTAACTCCAAATGCAAAAACGCGCCTGCTGTGCATGTGACCTAAAGAAAAATGATAACTACCAAATTAGGTGTAAATAGGCGATTTGACATTTTGGAAAAGCAAAAAATGGCTAAAGAGAGTTTGGGCTCAAAATGCCTACAAATTCATTAGGACCTGAGTATGGGCTTATTTTTGGGAAATTATTGAACGTTCCTGAATTGCAGTTGAGCTATTAAAAATTCTTAACTTCCAAATTATGTAACGTTGCGACATGAAAATTTGGCAGAACAAAAAGGAAAGCTGATGACAAATAGTGCGAAACTTTCATTACAATCTGAGCATGGGCAGATTTTTCGCTAATTTTTGAACTTGCACGAGAAATTCACGAACGTTCCTGAATTGCAATTGAGCTAGAGAAAAATGATAATTGCCAATTAACAAAGAGAAATTTGGGCGCAAGAAAAACGAGGGTTGAAGTTGTAAATTGAGAAACTTTAAAGAGACACTGAACATTGGCTCATTTTTCAGAAATTTTTGAACTTGCATTTGAAATTCAACAGCGCTCCTGATGTGCATGTGAGCTAACGAAAAATTGAACTTTCCAAATTAGGTAAAGTAGCGAATTGAAATATTGGCAAAGCTAAAAAGGTTGGCTAAAAGATTTTGGTTAAAAATGTCGAAAAGATTATTAGAATCTGAGTATGGCCTGATTTTTCTAAACTTCATGAACTTCCGGCTGAAATTCATAAACGCTTCTGAATTGCAGTTGAGCTAATTAAAACATCGTCACTCCCTAATTAGGAAAATTTGCGTCTTGAAATTTCAGGAAAGCGAAACGAAAGGTTAAGCACAAAAATTGCGCAATTTTCATTAGAATCTGAGCATGAGCTGATTTTTCGTGAATTCTTGAACTTGCACTTGAAATTCATGAAAGTTCCTCAGTGGCAGGTGAGCTAAAGATAAAATAATAAATTCCGAAACTAATAAGTTTGAAAAGAAGGTGTGAGCAATAAAATGCGAAATGTTTATTGGAATCGTATTATTTGGACTTAAATTGGTATCGTACAGTCAAAAAGCGCTCAAAAATGGCACGAAAAAGTCAACTATTTCGGATCTGGAACGTCCAGAGTATTGTTCATTGGATTTGTTGTGTTATTCACTACCCTAAGAAGAAAATTATATGATTTAGAGGCATTTGAAGATGTTTAATGTTTTTAGAAAAAATCAATTTTACATCTTATGAAATTTTCGGTGAAAAGTAAAACTTTCATAAGTATGCGTGTTTTTGAGTTCACTAAATTGCTTTCGACGTGAAAAGCTCCCCAATAAACAGCAGATCGCTAAATCTGCTGTCCAATTAAATATTTTTTCTGTTATCGGTGAATTAGATCAATAATATATTCGTCAATAAAGCAAAAGAAGGGTTGGAACGTGTATAGAAACAAATCACTATTTAATAGAACATTTCGATTAAAATATGTAGTCCTGTTTAATTAGGCATGTCCACCTGTCAAATAAATTTATCGTTATATGAAACAATAATTGAAATAAGCATCCAAGCTAGTTAATGAATTGTATAAACAATGAGCGGTTTTTTATAATTGAAATTTACTAAATACAAAATGCGCTTTTTCGCTGCTATTTTCCGCAACCATGTTTAAATTTTTTCGAACGAAAAATATCGGAAAAATATACCTTTTGTGTCGATTTATCAGTTCGGGATTCCGAAATTTTCACATGCATGCGTTTTTGCTCAATCGTTTCGTTTTGTAGTCGCGTTTAAGCACTCTGAGATATTTAGAAAAATAGAGGCAACGAGCAAAATTCAATTCAGTCGAAATTCGCTCTTGAAATTAGTTGCGGAAAACACTTAAAATGAAACTGGGTGCAAAAGTCAGTAATATAAAGGTGTTTCAAATGAAGTGTGCTCTGAGGCAAGAAGGAGGCGAGAGCTTTAACCCAGTCCCGGGTGCCTGAGATTAGCACATCTCCAAAACTCTACTTACTTACATCAGAAAACTTTCACGATTCCAAAAAATTTCACTGTTGTTTGCAGTGTCCACATGTTTGTGGCCATCATGTGGGGAAAAACTGCTTGAGCATCTCTCCTGCTGATTACAATAAATATGTAGTTCTATCGTTGTTTCAGGTTGCTTGGGTTCGAGTAGACACCCAGACCATTCTGTCCATCCACCATAACGTTATAACGCAAAATCCACGAATTTCGCTATCTTACAACGACCATCGCTCATGGTACTTGCATGTAAAGAACGTCCAAGAAGTGGATCGAGGATGGTACATGTGTCAAGTTAACACTGATCCTATGAGATCCAGAAAAGGGTATCTCGAAGTAGTTGGTAAGTTGAACAGTTTTGCTATTGCGTAAGGAATAAAGACAAGTTTACCAGTTTGATTATGGTCGGGATTTCATTTGGCCCATCTGGCTCCGCAAAAATGCCCCTCATATTTAATATTGTCAAAAGTTAGAATTTACGAGATCATTCTGGTAATCCAGTGTCGTCCATTACGTTTCACAACGACATCGCTATTATTCGGTAATAGTACTTTTTATCATGGAGTTTCCACTTTTCGCACGTTAAACCACGCGTCCTCTGTTGACATCCAAAGGTTAATATTGAGGAAAACATTCATTTGCGACATTGGGACGGTGCGGTGAAAAATAGCTCTCCATATTTTTTTTGGGTCTGCTGCATGACTCAATTAAATTTTATAATGTTGAAAGGTGAAACGATTATTTCCGGAGAAATGCTTTATTTTCCTGGGAACCGATAAAAGCATATAGCGCAATCCAAGCTTTGAAGGGATTAGACTGGGTTAACTCGTAACTTTAGTGTCACATTTCATTCCCAACTGCAACTTTTCCTTTGTCACCGAACAATTAAGTTTTATAAGTCGAATGCCCAAATTCCTAAATGATTGAAACTGGTGAGTTTTTTGGGCTTTTGGGCCGTCGTCGAAAATAATTTCTTCCTGACGTCTCGCAAGTATGAGTGGCTTGCATTCTCAGAGGTGTTTATTCCAAAGCACCTCTGAAGACCCAAGCCGCGTTTCACGGCGGCCTAAAAACCCAAAAAACTCCACCGTTTCCATAATTCCTGTTTCGGTTTGCGATAATTTACATACAAAATAGTAGTTGTTAAAAGCAGACATTTTTATTTACTGTCGCGATGGATTAACAACTCGGCAAGCTTCAAAATTTAATTGTTTGTTATTTTCAACCAATAAAACTAGCTGTCAAAAGCAACGAGAAGTTTATCACAATTAAAAATATCTATAATAAACACAATTTATTCCTCGAAAATTTCTCGCAACGCACATTAAACCATTAATTGAGTTAAAAAATGTAGAGGCTGCACAAGCCGGCCGATCCCGGCCTGGAATAAATGACCGCATTTTCTCCTCAAATAAATATTGTTGGCTTTTAATTATAAAATTAACCTTTTTGCCACATTTTACACGTGAATAATAAATATTAAACACATTGATAAAGGCGGATTATTCGGCATCACTATAATCATATTTAATTCAATTATATTTGTTGCACAACTTTTATAATAAACAATTCAATTTGTTTTGTTGGGTGGCCTACGAAGCGAAGTTGTATTTCTCAGTGTTTTACTTTCGATCGTTCCGGTGTAATTCCAAACCAAACGAGGAAGTTTGCAAAATAATTTAATAAAGAACACTGCGATATGTTCCTTTATAAAACCCAGGCAGATAATATTTTAGAATTAATGGCCTGAATAACACTTAACACTAAAATGATGGTAAAGTTGCGCAGTTAAATAGCAGGTATCGCGTGCAGATTTCGCCACTACAGCTCAATGCTCACTAATGCATTTAAAAGGAGAAATCGCTCTTTAAGTGTCGCAATAAAATAAAAATCTAAACAATAAAATCGTACTTGCATGTGCCCGACACCACAGCGAAAGAAACCTTCGTGTGTGAACAATTCCTTCTTCTGGCAGACTCACAATCCTTTCCAGTGTACTAATAAAATATCAATTTGAACGGCTTTGTTTCACGACAATCGTAAAACTGAGTTTATTGTTTTTCAAATAGCATCATATGACAGTTTGGAAAAGCAAAACGCCTACTGAATAAATAAAGAATAAATTCCCTTCTCACATTTTCAAATGTAATTAATTTTTTATTGAACCAAACAATCACAGAACTGGAACGAATTCTAGAATTCTTCAATGAACAGTGCCGCTCAAAAATGTTTTTATTTTAGTTGTACAGTCAGGTATATATCGTCTGGAGGGTGTAAAACGCGATTAAAATGGGACGAAAATGTCGATTGCTTGGAATCCAAAGCTACTAACGTGTTCTTCAATGAAGTAGTCGCATTATTTGCTTCCTTGGAATGAAAATGATGTATGATTCGAAGAATTTTGAAAAAAAATATCAAAATTATAAATGTGCGTTTTTTGCGCTCAATGTATTGCTTTCGACCTAAGTCTTAAAAAGGTTTAACATTGGACAAAAAATCCATTATTTCGGATTTCAAATGTATAGCGCGTTTTTCATTGAACTTGTTGCAACCCTCACTTCTGTGATGATGAAAATTATGTAGATTTCCAGGCATTTAAAGATATATGATTTTTTTCGAAAAAATCGGGCTAAAAAGAAAAAAGTCAAAATTTCACATGAGTGTTTTTTGAGCTCAATGTATTGCTTTCGACCTAAGAAGCACCCCAATATGCACATATAAAGTATTTGGGTTTTTAATAGAAAAAATACCCTCGGTTAAAGGTCGTGACCGCTCAAAAAAGGCTTAACAGTAAGCTTGCTTTTTTGAGCTCAATGTATTGCTTTCGACCTAATAAGCACCCCAATATGCACATATAAAGTATTTGGGTTTTTAATAGAAAAAATATCCTCGGTTAAAGGTCGTGACGGCTCAAAAAAGGCTTAACATTAGACAAAAATTTCATTATTTCGGATTTCAAACGTATCGCGTGTTTTTCATTGAACTTGTTGCAATCTTCACTTCTATAAGATGAAAATTATGTAACTTTCCAGGCATTTTGATATATTTGATTTTTTTCGAAAAAATCGAGCTCTACCCCCTTATGAAATTTTGGGAAAAAAGTCAAAATATCACAGGCGGGTTTTTTGAGCTCACTGTATTGCTTTCGACCTAAGAAGCATCCCAATATGCACATATAAAGTATTTGGGTTTTCAGTAGAAAAAATATCCTCGGCTAAATGTCGTCACCGCTCAAAAAAGGCTTAACATTGGACAACAATTTCATTATTTCGGATTTCAAACGTATAGCGTGTTTTTCATTGAACTTGTTGCAATCTTCACTTCCATAAGATGAAAATTATGTAGATTTCCAGGCATTTTAAGATATTTGATTTTTTTGGAAAAAATCGAGCTCTCCCCTTATGAAATTTTGGGAAAAGTCAAAATATCACAGGCGTGTTTTTTGAGCTCAATGTATTGCTTTCGACCTAAGAAGCATCCCAATATGCACATATAAAGTATTTGGGTTTTCAATAGAAAAAATATCCTCGGCTAAATGTCGTCACCGCTCAAAAAAGGCTTAACATTGGACAACAATTTCATTATTTCGGATTTCAAACGTATCGCGTGTTTTTAATTGAACTTGTTGCAATCTTCACTTCTATAAGATGAAAATTATGTAACTTTCCAGACATTTTGATATATTTGATTTTTGTCGAAAAAATCCAGCTCTACCCTTTATGAAATTTTGGGAAAAAAGTCAAAATATCACAGGCGGGTTTATTGAGCTCAAAGTAATGCTTTCGACCTAAGAACCATCCCAATATGCACATATAAATTATTTGGGTTTTTAATAGAAAAAAATCCTCGGCTAAATGTCGTCACCGCTCAAAAAAGGCTTAACATTGGACAACAATTCCATTATTGCGGTTTTCAAACGTATAGCGTATTTTTCATTGAAGTTGTGGTAATCTTCACTTCTATAAGATCAAAATTATGTAGTTTTCCATGCATTTTGAGATATTTGTTTTTTTTTCGAAAGAATCGAGCTCCACCCTTTATGAAATTTTGGGAATAAAGTCAAAATTTCACAAGCGTATTTTTTGAGCTCAATGGATTGCTTTCGACCTAATCAGCGCCCCAATATGCACATATACAGTATTTGGGTCAATCATAAGAATATAATAAAAATAAGAAATATGCCGTCGATTAAAAATTGCGATTGCTCAAAAACTGCTTAAAATGGTTCGAAAATCTATATCCTTTCGATCTTGAAGCCTTCAGGGTCTTGTGTTTTGAACATTTTTCGTAAACAATTTTTTCTCAACGCATCTAAGTCTTAAATAAATGCGTCCATAGCCAATTGCACAAACAAGTCTGATAATCTTATTAACGGATTATGAATGTCATCGATGTTAAACAGTTCGCTTCTATGTTTAGTCCTCTTTAGATGTTCACATTAATAAGTATGTTTCTGATTAGGGATTGCGTTGCTTCCGGTGGGTCAATTAGTCTCTGAATATAATTAGATACAACTAATACTCCGGAACTAATTAATGGAATTAATATTCCCCAACTATTGACATGGTCTGATTTCATTGGGAATCGTCTGGAGCCCATATCTTGGCAATGAGTTCAGACATTGAAATCCGGTTTTGTGTACTGGATCTTCAGAACATTCGCGCATAATTATCTCTCGAATAATTTTTTTCAAATCCGAACCAAATATAGAGATGTAAATTTCAGCACGCATTAAAAAAGCTTTGCTTTGTATATTCCACATATTTGCTTTGGATATTTATTTCTGGTGCTTCGCAAAACTGTACGATTCCGAATTTTGTTCCGTATTAATTTTGAACGTTATTTTTTCCATTCGAACTTCGCTGGAGAGTCGATTCGATAAAATGAATTTTTGTTTCAGTTTCTCCAACTATCATAGATCAGGAAACCAGTTCCGACATGGTGGTCCTTGAGTCGACAAATGTCAGTCTGACTTGCAAAGCTACAGGATATCCTGAACCGTATGTGATGTGGAGAAGAGAAGACGGCGAAATCATACGCTACAATGGAGAAAATGGTAATGACGTAATATTTAGGAAATTTCATTGCCGGGAGTAAAATAAATCTGCCCCTTTGCGGGAACTCCACAGATTTTATCTCTTTGAATATATGGGGGTACCATAAAGTCAGAGATTTATCTCTGCTTATTATGTGCCGTAACAAATTAAATCGATAACAAAAAGCAAATTGATTCTATTTTCAAAGTCTTTTTCTTTGATAATGAGTCCCAAAATTTTTGTGTTTTAAATAGACAGAATGTCCGCAGGTCTTCTTTTATATTGATGAAGGCTCAAACTTGTCATCAAAACACACATTTATTGAAAATGTGTAAGAAATTTCAAAAATAATTACAAATTTAATCTGTAATTTGGTTGGTGAAACTTATCCCTAAATGTATTCTAGTCAGGCCAAAGACGATGATAACATTTCATTGGATTTTCAAAAATATCGTAATTTATATTGAAATATTGCGAAAGCGTTTGAAGGAATAGGATTGAGGACAGGGTGATGGCCAGTCAAACGGTGCAATAATTTGATTAGCTATTTTGGAGTAACCATCGAATAGTCAAGCGGAAGTTCTTCATTAAATCACCAGATAGTCAACGATAGTGGAAATAAAATTACAGCGATTATTGGACAGATAAGGCACTTTGCTCCCTAAATGGAGAAGTTAATACTCTAAACTGTCGAATATGGTCAATAAAAAATATCCAGTTTGCAAAGCAACCAGCATGAAATACCTGAAAATCAGCTAAATAACCAAGGGCCATTTCCTATTTCGAAGAAACGGTTGATAAGTTAACAGCAGTAAAATGAAGCAACTGCGGCAATCAATAAATGGTAATTTTGGGTTAGTAGGAGGTTCAGATTTACACAGGAAAAATGGAGGTGAATGATTATTTGTTTGGTACATTGTTTCAAATGCCTGCGGGCAAATAGTAAGCGTGACCTCTTATTGAAATGAGCAATTAGCAGAACATGATGTAGTGAGCGACGGGTCATTAAACATGAAACGAATGTTCACCTTCAATTCAAATAGTCCAGCTAAACTTCCCAGAGCAACAGTGAGCGCGGAAATTTATACCCTTGTTTTCACCCTTAATGTATGAAAAAGGACATTATGTCACGTGAAAGATGTCGGGGCCATTCGCCACAGTAGAGATAATGGTAATTGAATATTTATGAAATTTTATTACCCTCTAGAACGCGTGTAAAAAGGACGTTTTGATTTCGAAATGAATTTTAAATGCCGCGACAAACCGGCTAATTTGTTATTTATTGAAACATTTTCTCAATTACTATGAAAATTGCTTTTACACCCTCCGACTGTTAAATCATCTGAATACTTTAACTGTAGGCATGTTGCATTAACTATTTGAGATCACGGCAGAACGACATAAATATAGCTTTTATTTCATCACATATTTTATGATACTTCAAGTGTAAGTCGTCGGCTTTCTCTTTCGTTTTATTGGTGATGTTTTATTCCAGTATTTTTTGCTAATCAGCAAAATTGCAAAACACTTGATGATTCATGTGGAAAATAAAAACTACGTCAAATACACGTGTGTCGTAATGAAAAAACTTAATTTAATTTCAACTCTTTTGTAATCTTTGGTTTCCACCAGGAAACGTTTTGTTTTTTTGTAGTAAAACACGGGGTTAAAACAATGTCCAGTTTCATAAAACGCCTTGTTTTATCAACAAATTCTGTTCTAAACGAAACGCGAATAAAAATGGGATATCAAAGGCTTGTTAGTGTTCTTTGATCCGACAAAAACAAACGTCATATCCTATTAAAATGCTAAAATATCTGGGTATATCCAATTATCAATAGGTTAATGGGTATTTCGAATGTGCCTATGAACATTCAAAGTTAAGTGCGCAAAACTCGGTTGGTTATCTGGCTACTGGCACAGAAAGCTGGAGCTTTATGGAGTACAAATGGCATTTTAAATTGTGAATAGTGACCTGTTCCAGCAAAAATTAGGGTCCATTGTATGCCTATTTTGCGTTCTTATTTTATGGAGCTAAATGTCACAAACAAGCGGCGCCATTCAATTACACTGCTCAGTTCGGGGTGCCAGACCAAAGGCATTTAAAAATCTCTCTGCCGGTATTATTGTGTATAAATGTGCAGTCACAATGCCCTAGTAACACTATTACGAGGTTTTTTTAAAGCTTTTTACGTTGTACATGTCTGTTGTTTAAACTCTGGAAAAGCGCTGAAAATCACTTTTATAGCCGAGGGGATGTTTTTTGCTTGTACGCCTAAAGTGCCAACCATCCTGACATTTAAATCGGGACTCGATGCTCAATAATGCTCAGCAATTATCTTAACAATGACCAAACGAAGTGGTCTTTTATCTGCATTCTCTGCTCTAGTTTAGTTGCTTTAATTGCTGCGTTGTTATTGATTAATTTGTGCAAGTTTTCGAATATTCCGTATGTTTATTATAAGTTCTACTCAAGGAATGTTCATTTCCACAGGTTTAAACAACTGGATGATCAATTTATTAAATGAACAAACTCTAATACATTTGCTTCGGATTTGATATATCACGCTAAATGCTCAAACCCATTTCCTAGTTTCTCGCCTGATGTTGAAACAGCTTGGAAACAAAATTAGATAAAAGTATTAAACGAGTATTTTATGTTAAACTAGCTAGGAACTAAGGCAAGAGCTTTGATTTGATTCTTTGGCAAAGCTTTCTTTAGCCGAATTTTCCATTTGCGATACAGCGCTGAGTTGTGCATTTGTAAGTCCGAATGTTTCGTTGCTTGTTGGCCTTATCATTTCCATTTTTGCATTTTCCATAATAAAGCTTAAGTGGTATCCGACACAGATTAGAGAACAAAAAATAAAAAAATCGCTCGAAACCAATCCGCTTTTAGTATTGTATAGGCGGCTCTTGCATCTATTCATGCATTCTTTCTATATTCCCTCAGATATTTTCCAACTAGCCAGGCATTATTTTTGTTGCCGGTTTGCATCAGTTTTAGTGCTTATCGCTTGATTTAACGTTTAGGGAAGTTTCTAATTTAGCAAATAAATTCCATGAAGAAATAAAGGAGTTTAACGGTGAAAAGTAATCCTCTATATATCGCAATGTAAAATGTGTCGGTCGTTAAAATCCAGGTTAAAATCGATAAATCCCATAGAAAATGGACTTACTAAACACACTCTACACTCCATAAACTGACTTTGCTAGTTTTTAGTTTTCTCGGATTTAGCAAATGGAGTTGCCATTGTTAACAGACCGTGGCTTAGCAAATTTCCAAGTTTCTAGACCTGGCTGATATTATTCACTTGCACGAAAATCCACCTCAGAGGTGGATTTTCGAATTAAATTTAAATATTGCAAAAACTTCGAGTCCCTATCACTCCACGTCTTTGGCACCTTTGCTGTAATTTATGTTTAGTAATATTCTATTTGAGGGATTAAAAGTTTGACTATCGTAGTTGAATTTTAACTCAATTCGCTAAAGCTAAATTTGAAATTCAAATTCGTCAGAATACACATTTTTAACTTTTATAATTCCGGCCAGCTCGTGATTGAGTGAAAAGCAAACTTAGAAGCCTGAAGTCAGCGCTAAGATCGATTTTATTCTTTATTGTTTTATTGCTTAATGTTCCAAAGTATCCACGAAACACAAAGCAGAACTTCAACATTGTTTCTGTATATTTCAGATATTTTTCGGTTTTAACATTGCCCTATTGGATCGAAATAACCACAACTCCCGCTAAATGTTCGATTTAATAACACAGAACGTTTAAGATAATATCCTGATAATGGTCTTAATACTATTTCAAACAAAGAGATGTAGTGTTTTCGACTAAACATTACTTCAAAATGTATATATTCTCCGTTGTTGGACTGGTTAGTAGTTAGCTTTCAAAGTTAATTTAGCTTAATAGGCTTTCAAACATACGCTTACAGTCCTTTTACATTTAAACTTTTTGTACTGTAGTGGAAACTTAATACCATAACACCATCGTTTCATAGCGCGATAAAGCGGCAATACGGAAACGAAATAAATCTCCTGGACTTTATTCTGGATATTGTTATGGCATATTTTACAAGCTCGTTGAGAATGACAGAGTGAATTGGTCACAGGGACTTTACTTTGGATTTGATGGGAATTGCTCGCTTCACGGAATGTGAGAGCTATCGGCACGTGTATATATGGTATTATACCTGGAGATATCAAGTGATCTCCACTATAATATTTCGATTCACTTCCTTATTCACTTTCCACTGGAGGATGGGTTTTTTTCCAATTTCCCTACAGCATATTCTATGCCCTTTTTGTTGGCTAATTAATCTTCTGATGTTCCTTGTGTGCTACTAAATAAGTCACTTTGATAAAAGTCCGAAAGCTTGAGTCAGTTCCTATACGTAATTTGCATTAACAATTGCACTGTTTATTTTAGCAAGATCATGCCTGTTTGAGTCCGCATAAGTGCATGTTATAATGCAGGTCCCTGAATGAGAACGCCGTCGAGACTTTGTTTTTACATTCAAAATGGCGAATAATTGCAACTTCCACCAACATAACGCTTGAAACTTTGCAAGTCGTTAAGTTAAATAAACACATACAAATTAGCTTTCGCGGAAACAGTTTCAATTCACACGATAACATCAGTCTTAATAGTGCTGAATGGAATAATCTAATTTATATTAGCAACCGTTTGACCTGTTGGGCCTGGGTAACTCAGAGAATTTTTAGGAGTTGGCGCAGTGCTGCGCAAGTGGCTTGGCGCTCCAACCCAACGCACCGGCGCAGTAACTCGGTTGCTGGGAAAACTTTGATGACCTTTTCTTTAAGTTGTTTTTAGATTTTCGTTAAAAGTCATTTATCAATAATATTTTAAAGTTTCTACAAGACATCAGAATTGTTCAGTTTTAGCAAAGTTTCTTCTAAAATCTAAATTTTATAAAGTTTCACTTAAAAATACTGACAATCTTAAGGTATCGTCTAGGTAAGAAAAATCGTCACCCCCATCCCTATGAAGACTGTAGAGTTTGTTAAAAAACTGTGGTTTTTTAGTTTTGACTAGACTTTTTTCTTGCTTTATTTTCCACTCAAAAACTATTTTGTTAAAAGTTTCATTTAAAAATACTGACAATCTACAAGGCAAATTTATAGCTCTGCAGCAATTTTACAAAATGTTTTTTCAGTATCGAATTCGGGACAAAAACGAAAATAAATTACTCCCGTTTTTCCCGAAAAGTATTAAGATTTTCTAAAAAGTCGATCACGAATCCGAAAGTTTTTAATCAAAAGCACAAAATAAATTATTGACTCATGCTTTTCTTATTTCCTGACAATCATGGGGTATTTTCAGCCACAAATGACAAAATTTATGTTGAATTACAAATTCGCTTTATTCATCGCTTTGCAGGGAATTTTAGAAAACTCATTTTCCGGTTCGAATTTGGAACAAAAACCAAATAATTTCGTTCAGTTTTTTACGGAAATTAATTAAGATTATCTTGAAGACACAAAGATCGCAAAAGTTTACAAAAAATTGTTTAGAAATGTTGCCACCCTTATCGCTCTGAAAATATTTAAAGCTTCTTTAAAATTTCAGGTCCTTCCAGTTTTAGCAAAATTTTGCTTAAACAATTCTTTCTACGCAAAAAACGCATTATTTTCTAGTTTCACTTTAAAATACTGACAATTTTCATGTACAAACTGTGAAAAATTATGAAATACATTTTACTGGAACACTCGCTTCCATATCAGCTTTGAATTTTTTTTTCTAGAACCTTTTGCAGCTTCGAATTTCAGACGAAACCCTAATAATTTTTGCTGGATTTTTTTCCAAAAATATTTCCCCGAACAGAACAAGCGAAAGTTTATATCACTTATTTGGAAAAAGCGTCATCTTCGACGCTGTGAGTAATTTGGTTTCTTTTAAATTCCGGTGTCTCAATATTTCTAAACAAATCTCGGTCTCACCAGAAAACGCATTTTTTCCTAACGTTTTACTGCAAAATACTGGCAAACTGAGAGTGTTTTATGCAAAAATATTAAGAGATCAGCCAAGAAATCTCGCCGTCTCTATAGTTTGGTCGACTTTCTCCTCTCTTTGAAAGACCCAGTTTACCTTTGAATTTGGGACAAAATCGAAACAAAACCATCTTGGTTTTTCTTTCGCACTCGTCACACTGATCGCTCTGAAGAATGTTTAAGTCTTTTAAAAATTCCCGTTTTTTCCCGTTTGGACCAAATATTTTCAAGCAGGCGTTTCTCCAGAAAAAGCAACTCAATGAATTTTTAGGAGTAACGTATTGGTGCTCCAACCCAACGCTCCGGCGCAGTAGCGCAATTCCGTTGCTGGCAAAACGTTCCTCATGAAAAATGTCGATGACCTTTTTTATATGTTAAAATTCCAGTCTCGGTCATCGGTAAATGAGTTATAACTCATTGATCGATGAGCTAAAACTCATTAACTCAGAGAGCGGCAACAACTCAACCCAGTGTTTCGCAGGTCGAGTTTAATGATAATCTACACGAGGAAACTAAAAACATGAATACGTAAAAACCTCTTTGTTGGTTTTACGAGTAATTGACTGTGTGTGAAGTATGAACATTAATGTATTGAGGATAACGACGAATTTAACTTCTAATTGAATAAATTCAACGTTAAAAATCCCCAAATGAGGTGTCCATTAAAGGAAATTGCTCAGGTATGGTAAACCGATAGCAACTTTTCTTCAAACTGTCATTTAAGCCTTAAGTGGATGAAAAAGTTTAGAGTGTGGGCTGGAGAGTATCCATAAGACGAAAAAAATTGTAACTTGTTAAATATTAAATATGGCCAGTTCAGTTTTCCTTTCGTACGTGTATAATAAATGTATGCGACCCTGCAACATATGGGAAAGCTCTCAGAGCCAACAACTGCCATCGCTGATCTATGGCGTTAAATCAAAAAAACAATTTAATTAAGCGAATAATATTAAGTACACATATATTTTACATTTAATTGCCGCAATGATGTTAATGTTGATTTCTGCCATAACAGAAATATCAATTTTCCCCAGCCCATTACCGCTATCCCCCATAAATCAACACCCTCTGAAACGGATCAGTATAACGACATTATTTATTTCTGTTCCAGTGAACGTCGTTGATGGAGAAGTTTTGTTCATAACGAAAGTCAGCCGCTTGCACATGGGGGTATATCTCTGCATCGCCTCCAACGGAGTTCCCCCATCGATAAGCAAGAGGGTCCAATTGAAAGTACAATGTAAGTTAATGTTTACTTAATATCTTCTGCTTCCTTAATTGATACAGGAACTTGATCAATCCATTAGGGTTCTGTATGTTACTTAAGCAATTCGGAAATCGTGTTTAACGATCGCTGCATTTTATTCAAATAGCAATGTTCATGTTGCTCAGTGAGCAAATTTATGGGCGTTGTAACGTTTGGGACTTGAAAAGTTGCCATTAAGAGACGATAGGTTTTCCAGTTGAAAATATTAATTGACTTTGGTCTATAGAGGCTAAATTAGGCCGGAAGGAACATGTCAGAAAAAATGTAAATGAATTTAAAATTAAAATTTTGCAATATAGCTGTACAACAAAATTTTGACCTACAAACCAATTATCAAACATTCATGGCTCTATGGAATTCAGCTCTGGGGTTGCACAAAAAGCACGTAATCACCATGTCTCGTCAGAATTGTTAATCTTCACAGAAGTTGGAAGCTTGACTTTTGAAAAATAAATCGAACGTTATGCAAATACAGTCCAAGCCATCTACAGCTGCATCAGAACCCAGAAGCCGACCAGTTGCTATAAACCCAGAATTTGTACTGCAGATTGAAGAGAACGAACTCCTTTGAACTGATATAGTGTTTTAATAAGGGCATAGTATAGTGTGCGAGTAAATATTGTCTAACTCCTGCGAGACCTACAAATATTCACAAAAATTCTATTCCATTCCATTAGTAGAGAAGTTAAGCGCTGGCATGAAACAATCACTGTCGTTAGCCAATAAAAATCGCATCCATGTTGGCTCCTATAGGGAATGTTCAATAAGTCCCCATTTCTACCCTCAACTAATCCATCAATCTAGCGAAGGGTGGAAAATCTTAGCCAGCTATCTTGACAGATATACATCGTGTTAAATGTATGAGTTGTTTGGGATCCCAGTAAAAGCCAATTTAATATTAGAGAGCCCGGTAGTGAGGGATGTTCGGGGTTAGATTTGCTTTATCTAAAATTACATTCGCGATTTTCACTTTCAGATACCCGACGTTTGCGTTTTTGTTGTGCAAACAATTTTCCGATTTATTGCACGGTCAATTAAGCGGTTTATGGTTGTTCTGAAGATGAATGGGATGACTCACGATGCCGGAAGTGATGAGGGTGTAGTGAAAATAAATCCGATCATGACAAAGAGCTTTTTTCAATTGTCGATTAGGTTTCGGAAAATTAAATATTTAAAGAAAACGCTATGAAGTTCATCAGTAGAAAGTGAGTCTCAGAAGTCATGTCTACATTCATTTAACACTCAGCTGTATGTTTCATGGGAAAAAATTGAACTTCAAAATGTTTATCGGTTTTTGTCAAGGTACATTTGATTCAAAAACAATTACCACCTTCACTAGGTTTTTTCAGTTGGATGCATCTATTTTTTTATTTCAATTTTCAATTATCCCTTGTCGAAGTATGGTTCAGGTGCCACCTCCTGTACCTAAACTCATGGAATTTACTAGTTACAAAATTATTTAACAAAATAACAAGATGCCTTAAAAATAGACAAAAAGACATTCGCTTGTAGCGAAGTTAACGGGACGAAAAAAATCGAAATTCTCTGTTGCTGGGTTTGGTGATCGAACACGTACCCAAACAGCAGCAGCCCAATTATTTGATGAAATCACCTTCAACGCCCTCTCATAGGTGAAAGGGTGGTGGATTAAACAGAAGCTAAATTCAGAGAATTTGCACAGATTGGTCTGAATCTGGACGGTCTACTTGCGATCAAAACGACCTGGCGATTTACTTTCTCTGGAGGAAATTGCATTTCCACTCTTTCGCCGATTGGCGTCAATTTACACTTGCGGAAATCTGTTGTTCACCGGCTAGTTCGAAAGCACAAATATCTTCCCCACAAAGTTATTCCATTGCAAGAGTTATGGGAAGATGATCTCGAGAGGCAAAATTAGTTTCACAAAATCATGCAAAACATGTGCAGTGGATAGATATCTACTACTTTTTTAAATGAAAAAAGTGGCGACCATACCTCATTTTTGGACCTCCCTGTATACCCAAAGAAATTTGGTATAAAAATGCATGTACAAATGAAAACTGACCGGTTGGGGCTTTTTTCTGAAAAACAGTGAACTACTAGTCGAAGGAGCATGACTTGGCTAGTGGTCCTCTCACTAACCAGATAAGAATACGGTGGTAAAATCTAATGGAATAACGAATTAAGAAAAAAGGGAGAAGAGAAGAGTGGTAAATCGTGAAGCTGATCAAATAAATATATACGTTGCGAAGCAATTCTAACGGCGGGCGCTTCGGTTTCCGAATCACCTTTTCCTCATTGTATATTTTCCAAAGCTAATATTTTTGTCTCTTTGCAGTTCCTCCAATGCTGTCCATCCCCAATCAACTGGAGGGCGCTTACATCGGCCAAGACGTCACTTTGGAGTGCCGCACGGAAGCGTTTCCAACTTCGATCAATTACTGGACGACTGAACGAGGGGACATGATTATCTCAGGTAGTAAGTATTGTGCCTCTGATGTTGCTTGTTAAATCAGAATATCCTCGGGTCAAGTATGTGAGCACGTCCTCGATACTTAAGCTATTTACGACTTATATTTGCTTCCTTTGGATGTCTAGACATGTCAGAGGGAGGACACTCTAATTTGGTTGTCCTTGCGTGACCTGTTTTAGTTGGGGGCTTTTTGATCATTTCGGACCTTCGCTGCCAGAAAGGCCTGCCATTAGTCCCTGTTTCTCTGGGGTTTTTATTTTCAATCGGCACAAAATTTCTTCTCAGTATTCTGTCAGTTAAATATAAATAGAGTTAAATACGTGGCCACCAATTGAGAGGCCAGAAAAAATATTCAAAGCTGAAAGGAAGATGTCTCAGCGACGTCCTCTAATTCTGTACGGAAAATGAACTGATCCAACTTGGAGCATTTATTATGCGTCCAAAGAGGTCGTTCTCGCATTAATTTTGGTCAGTTTTACGAAGCTGGTTTCCGACGGACAGGGACAATAGATTTTAAGCAAGCCTGAGGTTAGTACATGTGTACAATGAATCATGTTGGGTTAGTTATAAAAGTTTAATTAAAAAGAGTACCTCAGCGCTTACAAAAATAACAAGGAAACTTAAGTATTTTCGACAGAGCCACTGAACACGTTCTAGCGATATACCCAAAAGCTATTAATCAACGTGTGAAATACATAAATCAGCAATGCCATTAATCATGCCACTGGAGAGTGTATTATGCTGTAGTTAATTAATTAAATACGAAAAAACTTCCCGCATAGATTGTTCACTTTGGACATGTTATTTGCCTGCTTGCTGCGCATATTTCTACCCTTCTTCACGACCGTTTCAAATAAAAAAACCCCTCAACAGTAAAATTGCATTATAATATTTCGCACAAGGTGTCACCTTTTTGGAACTTTAATATACATACCGAATATGGTATGAAAATATAGCTGTAAAAATGCCGAATAAAGCGAGCGGATCGGATATTATTTCATCGCTTTTTGTAGACATCCGACTGCTGGCTTTCGTATTTCGTATTAATATTTATTGCCACTGATGAAGTGAGCTGATAAATATAAAAGAAACTCTCATTTTAAAGTGGATCGCTATAAATTGAATTTACGTCAATAACCAATAGCATTTCTATGGTAATTGCTTGACCATGGAAAATATTTACATGTTTATAAATCATAGTGTAGACAGGTCTAAAATTGCAGTTGTTGATGCAGTTGGCCCAATAATATCGTGGAAAGCACCAACCAAAAAAGGTAAAAAAATTGTGATGAATCCGAAACTATTCGTGATTTTACAATGTAACTGCTACTGGAATAGGCAGCTTTAGGCCAACGCGCACTAGAGCGAACCGAAGCGAAGCGCCATTGAGGAAAGTCGGAAGTCTTCCAAGAGAAGCGAAGCAACCTTTTGAAATTCTTTGCCGTGATTATTCGCTGGTCTGGAACAACTACTTTTGGATTCGAAGCTAAATTTTGCTTAATTATTCCTGGCTTAAAAATTTTGAACAAGTTTCCAATAGACAAAAAGTGTCTTCGGCGCTTAGCTCGTTTCCGCACCAATGTTTCTCCTAGTCTCAGATCAAACAGATGCATTTTTCTATGGGAGCAACAAGGTTTCTTCAACGAGCTCGTTGCATTCCTGGTTTCTTTCACATGCAACTGGTGTGGAATAAATTTGACTTTTTCAAGAAAAATCGACCTTTTCACAGCAACATGTTGCCGACATTTTCGGCAATAAATAACATTTTCACTTGCGTGATTTTTGAGCTCAATGGATTCCTTCCGACCTAAGAACTTCCCCAAAATGCAGATATAAAGTGTTTGAAAGCACAATAAGGAAAGTATCGTCTCTTAAAAATCGTGACCGCTCAAAACTGACATTAATTGGCCAACAAATTATTTCGAACGTAAAACTATTAGAGTGTTTTGCAACGAGCTCGTTGCATTCCTCGCATATTTCAGTTGAAAATTAGGTGAAATTTGATGAATTTAAACAAACGACGTTTTTGGAAAAATCGACCCCTTTATGACATTTTCAGCTAAAATTCAAAATTTCACAAGCGTGTTTTTTGAGTTCAATGGATTCGTTCCGTCCTAAGAACTTCCCCAGTATGATCACATAAAGTGTTTGAACCCATCATAAGGAAAATATCGCCGCTTAAAAACCATGACCGCTCATAAACGGCATAAAATGAGCTGAAAATGTGAATTATTTCCAACGGAAAACTGCTAGTGTGGTTTTCAACGAGCTTCGTTGCATTCCTCCCATCTTTCAGTTGAAAATTATGTGAAACTTGATGAATTTTGACAAACTTGACATTTTTGAGAAAAATCGACCCACCCCCTTTTGAAAATTTCGGGTAAAATTGGAAATTTCACAAGCGTATTTTTTTGGACTCAAGAGATTTTTCCGTCCTAAGAACTTCCCCAATATTCACTTATAAGGCGTTTGAACACATATAATAAGGAAAATATCGTCTGTTAAACATCATTACCGCTCAAAGATAGCATAAATTGGGCAAAAAATGTTAATTATTTCGAACGTAAATTCCGAACTAGTGCCTACAGTATTTTTCAACAAGCTTGTTGTATTAGTCGCATTTTTCAGATGAAAATGTTGTGAAAGTTGACGACGTTTAAGAGACCTGACATTTTTGAAAAAACACCTTTATGACATTTTCGGCTAAAAATCAGAATTTCACATACATGCTTTTTGAGCTCAATGAAATGTTTTCGACCTAAGAAATTCATATGGTCGAAATATGAAGTGTTTGGATCCATCCATAATAAGAAAAATTTTATCGGCTCAAAATCCTGACCGCTCAAAAGCGGCAAAAAATGGGCTCGAAATGTAAATTATTTAAGATATAAAACTACTGGCGTGTTTCTCAAGGAGCTCGTTTCATTCCTAGCTTTTCGAGATGAAAATCAGATGAAACTCGGTTAATGTTGAGAAACTTCCCATTTTTGGAAAAAAATCAACCTTACACCCTTCCGTCCCATTTCTGTCTTTTTGAGGACTTTTTTGTTGAGACTTTCTCTGACGCTTGAGACTCTCTCTTGACTTTTGAGAAGCGCTGCACGAGCCCTTGAATACCCAAGTTCTCTATTTCCATCAATAAAAGCTAATTAATTTTTTCAAAGACTGTTTGGTTCTCTGGCCCTCAGGACTATTTCATAGGTCCTCAACCTGAGTTCTCGCCTATATTTTTCGAAAGTACAGTCATATTTTACAGGCCAAACGAATATTTATTTGGCAAAAAGGCTTCTAGTAAAATCAGTTGTGTTTACTAAGCTTTAGGCAGCTTAACCAGAAGTTATATGACGAGCTTAGCAAGTATATATAGCAAACTGGGAACGGTGCCATGATAAATGTAAGCTTAATTAAATTCTGAACAAAAGTGGAGAAAAGGTGAGACATCGTTGCATCACTCAACGCTTATTCCAACTATAAATTTAATTTTAATAAAATTATGTTTTCCATGCAGCTGCCAGTGAGGTTTAGGGTGCCTCAGGTTGAGGTGGAAGTCGGAATTTGTCTATAGTAACGAGTAAGGTACCAATTTGGCTGTTTCATGAAATATGCAAATTATTAACTATTGCAGATCTTTTGCAGCAATTTTAATTAGCGACAAAATAGAAGCTGTAGAAGAACAAATGCGTGTTAGAGGTCGAAAGGGGGTTTAATGTGAAATATGATAGACACCGTATATTGGAATCGTGTACTTAGGACTTCCAAGACGTCGTTCAATCATCCCTAACGTGCTAAAAGTCAATTAAACTCGTCGGTCATTAAGGAAAATACAAAGTAGACTACGGAAAACTACCCTTTAACGTCATGCGTTAAACGTATTTCCATTTCATAATGCGAGTACAAGATTTTTGTTCAGATAATGGAATGCATTTCTTTCCATGACCATCAAATAATAAAGAACGGAGCTACTCTAGCTAATTTTGCACGAACGCTCTTTCAGATTTGCTGCATTTAGCTTAATTAATTTCTTTCTACACTTTAATCATTCACAAGCGCTGAGTTCAAATGATACACATTGCTCAGAGATAAAAGCAAAGTTGATACGTAAACGCAAGTCACGACCGAACATTTGATGTCAATCCATCAGCCAGGATCCTTTGGAAGAAGAATGTATCCCATTTAAGTTCCTGAGCTAATTTTATTTTGCAACCAGTATTTAGAAGTTGTACAAGCCGCAGGGAACTTAATAGCGAGTTAGGTGACACTGTCAGTGCAAATATGCGGCGAAATGCAAGGCGTTGCATGACAAATGAGAATTTAATTAAATTGAGAGTAAAACCAGAGAAAGGACTGCCCCTAGCTGCGACATTTGCTCCGATTCTCTGGTTCTGAATTTAGCTCAATTTAAATTATTATCCCACTTACTGCCCAAGGATATGCATCACTTAGTAAGCACGCAGAATCTCTAATTGAATAACTAAAGCTAGTTACGTTCACCTCTCTTTTAAATTCGTCTACTACCGAATGCTGCTTTGATCTTTTTTGTTTCGAAATGCTTTTTTGCAGCTTTATTAATCCTCCATCCCAGATTTGCATGCCTGATTGAGCATGCATGCCTTAGCATTTTAAATCTATATTAAGCTAACCCGTTTATTAAAACTTTTAGTAGTATGCAAATAGAGCACCAAGCATCTAAAAGGCGTGAATATTTGTGAAAGGATTTGTTATCGAAGTGCAACATTTTAAATACATAAGTTCTAGATAAGTTCTATTTTGTTGAGGCGGGTTCATTTTTTTTTATACAAACTTTTTTTTGGGTATTTCGCCTCAAAAATGTTTGTATTTAAAAAAGACAGAATTTCCTCACGTCTTTTATTACAGATTGATAAATAGTGCTCCTATTTCGCAATAAGAACGAATTATTTATCAAA